TGTATGTCCTCTTTCAAAAAGTGTCTATTTAGGTCCTTTCCCATTTTTTGATTGGATTATTTATCTTCCTTTTGTTAAGTTGTATGAGTTCCCGATAAGTTTTGGAGATTAGAACCTTATTGGATATAACATTGGCAAATATGTTCTCCCATGCAGTGGGCTTTCTTGTTGTTTTGTTGATGATTTCTTTTGCTGTGCAGAAGCTTTTTATTTTGATGTAGTCTCATTTGTTTATTTTCTCCTTAGTTTCCATTGCCCTAGGAGCTATATCGGTAAAGATATTGCTACAACATATGTCTGATATTTTGCTGCCTATGGATTCTTCTAAGATTTTTATGGTTTCCTGTCTTACATTTAAGTCCTTTATCCATTTTGAGTTTATTTTTGTGTATGGTGTAAGTTGGTGTTCTAGTTGACCCTCTGCTTTCTTGTTGGCAGGCAACCTTGGGTTTTAGGAGCTGGAGGTTGGCATGTCTTCCTGCTGCCTCTGTCACCTTCTACCCAGAACAGCTGGCACAGCCTCGGGCCTGATCATTAACCCAGGGAGGGGTGGTGGATTGGCAGAGGTGGGACTGGGCCCAAGCCAGGGCCAACACTGTGTTTGTGTGTCTGCCTGGCTCACTCAGACAGTCTGCTGGCCTGCCTCACCTGGGCTGGTGCATGTAGGGGCCGACTGCGACACCTCCTATTGGGGGAAGGGGTGAGGGAGGCACTCCCAGCCAGGCCCAGGCTCTGCTGGTTGCCTTCCCACATCCCAGAAAGGTCAAGCATCCCAGCCGCTGGGGAGTCTGCCCACAGCTGTCCTCGAGATCATGGATCATTACTGTGGGAGGGCGGCACAGCCTTGGCCTGGGCAAGGGCACGGTGATAGCAGCCTGGCTGGTGAGGGGCCAGGAGCAAACCCAGACTGCGTGTGGTCCTTGATCCTCAGGGACAGAGCCCCTGGGCAGCCTTGCTGCTCCAGGCAGCTGAGGGCACTGCTGGGGATCCCATGACCTGAGGGTGCTGAGGTCCAGAGAGTGGAGCTGCCCTGGGCTGGGTGAGCATCGGTTTGGATTTGGTGTGGAACAAAACAAACCCAATCCAACACTGAGTTAATTAGTGACTAGCCCCTCTGTTTCTGTGGCTTCCTGGTGGATGCAGAAACGAAGTGGTGGGAGGGCTAGAAGACCTTTGGAAGCCCAGCTCTTGCCTGCAGCACGAAATAAGAACCGTGCTAACTCCTAACACAAGTGTAGGAAGGCAAAGACAGTTCTCACTTTTGTGGTGGGGCGGGG